GTCCGCTCACGTGTACTGGTGTTACTATTACCCACGGGTGTACTGGAGGTTTTTTCCAAAGCACCCAATACGACCAGGTAGGGTGTTTGGGAATTTGGGCGCGTTCTTAGAGACGCTGTGATACCACCATTCTTCTGATACTTGGTATCGATATACCATATCAGGATGGGAACTGCAATATCGATACACAGGAATATCACAACAAAAGTATCGACACCATTAGTATCGAACATGTACATTATCTCTAACTTATTTTTTAAAAGTTCGATCCCAAGAATAACTGAAAATGTTATTACTTAGTCTTATTAATAACATTTCATGAGGGTCATAAATCTTTGACACGTGTATACACTACTCTTCAAATTTTACCTACCCGTGAGTTCACCCTTTATTCATCTTCACAATTTGCCGTTGAATATCTTGAATAATCTTTGTCATGCAATCAAGTTCTTTTCCAGTCTATGCTTTAACACTTATAAATAATGTAAAAATAATAACACAGATTTTTATACAAGATTAAATACGGTACACATTTATTTTATACAATTCAGATTTCGTTTTTTTAGTGCTTAGAAAGAGTGCATTAATTAACCTATGTCAAATGAAACAGGTGTAATGAGGAAGGATCTGTTGTTTCTGTTGACAATGATGGTGACTGATCTAAATTCTACTCTAAATAGCAGACTACATAAAGCATTTTTGAATTAATTAGTATTATTTTTTGTTACAAACAAACTTTTGAAGATATCCGTTTCCCATTAGGTTTTACAGTAAATAGGCCTAAATGTACATTTTAGAGAAAAACTAACTACTTTTTATAATGATACTACATTAATCTTATGATACCGATAAGTTATCGCTTGATTCGATACATCATCTTGTTACACCATGGGAGTTACACAATTTTTTTGTTCAGAATGTGCTACAACATACTAAATTTATATCAAAATTGTTCGGGCTATTTTAAAAAAAATTTGATTTTTTTAATGTTATGGGAAAATCTACATCTACACACACACACACACACACACACACACACACACACACACACACACAAAACATCACTTCAAAAACCACTTTTTTGGGTCCCACTCAAAACTCAAACTCGAAAATTTTTATGAAAACAATACTTTCTCCATATACCATGGTATAGGGGGAGAAATTAAAAATGCCTAGCCCGTAAGCCCGAAGTAATGTGCTAAACAGTGTCAGACTATACAGGGTGGTAAAAAAGTCCTGTATACCTGTATACAGGAAAAGTACCTTGTACAAAACGTAAGTCATCTAAAAATACAAAGTGTTTGTATTTACCATCTTTCTCTAAACCCAACGATTTTTGAGTTATTTGTTATGAAGTATATTTATTTTTTTTCTATTTATCAAAAATAGGTGAAACACATGGAAATTTACCGTTACTTTAAAGGATTATGATAATTTATCCCATTTAGTTAAATTAAAATCTTAATATTAAACTTATTTTATGAGTAAAACAACTCCGCCACAGCAAACCTGCAGACTCAGCAAATTTCCATTTGATTGGATGTTTTATTGATTGTAATGAAATAAAATTAGATTCAACAGGTACCTAGGTTTGCTGCTAGGTACCTGTTGTACCTAAGTAACCGCACTTCAAAAGGTTGATCCTGCGCAAAATGACAGTTGTTCAAAGATTCATTTAATTTACATTGCTATTATACGCTTACTCCTCAGAGGACACAGCCCTAGGAATCGGAAGAAAATTGTTAACGTAAGCATAGGTCGATATGCACATAAAATTAAAGGTCTTCACTAGTAGATTACGATGCCGTAAATTCAAGCTCAAAAGAATGCCTGAGTAAAAAATGGCAGTCGTTCAAAGATTAAAAATGGCGGATTCAAGAAATCTTTGAACATCTGCCATTTTGCGCAGGATCAACCTTTTGAAGTGCGATTTGCGGCATTGTATTCTACTAAAAAAGACCTTTGATTTGATGTGCATATTGACCTATGCTTCCATTTAAGATTTTCTTCCGACTCCTTGTGGGCCGTCCCCCTGAAGAGTTATTGGATCACTGAATATGTGTTAAAATAGAGTTTTATGCCCTGTAACTTTGTACCAAGTATTGTAGCTCTATCTACATTATTTTTTAAAATATTTAACTGTCCTGGGACTTTTTTACCACCTTGTATAGTATCCTTGTTGGCAATGGGTTTTTTTAGCAGGTAGTCCCGGGACATTGAACTTGAGGGAGTTCAGCACTACTGAGAGGACATTGACCTTCTCAGTATATGTAAAAGCATTTTAACCTCTCCACAAAAAAAACTATTATTTCGTTAGCCTAGGAAGAAGAGTGGTGGTAATTGCTGTAAATGCAAGATGTTTTTACCAACGTTAACAAATCTGATACTATTATTTAGATCGTTAACATTACCATGAAGATACATTTGTAAATCATCTTCAAATAGCATTCATCTACGAAACATAAATGAATTGCTTATCTTAATGATGGATAAGGAAACATAGCTGATAACGATGAGCCTTGTGGATCTTCTATCTGGTTAATCTCCACTCTGGTAACTCTGGTAATTGACTCTTTGAAGTTACGGGACAATCTGCTGTGATTTAGACCTCAATGGTCCAATCTTCCATACATTACAATGCCAATATTTTCTTGTTATACTACTTCAGTCAAAAAGTTTCCGGAATGAATTTCTGTAGACATTTAGCGCGATCGCCAGCGGGAAATTCGCCTTGAAGTAGTTGGTACGACTCTTGGGGGGGGGAGGGCATTTCGGTAGTGGGGGTATAGCTGACGACCCGTAGTCTAGTATTGGAAAGCGCTTTTCGTGAACTAAGTACAATGCTATCTTGAGGTATGGAGTCATACTGTGATAAGTGTCAACGGAGGTCAAATCCCTACTAACCTTACAAAAAAAGAAATAAAAAATCTTTAGAATCTTAACTAAATCAAGAAGAAGAAATTCATGTAAACACCTGTTTAGAAACCTTAGAATCCACAGCATTTTCGGATTATACATAAATACAATTCTAAATTGGATCCATCGCACCAAAGAGAGCTTGTCAGATGAAGTTAAATTTACTTTTAATTACAATTCAAGGAATGAATATAATTTCAGATTACCGCATCACAAGTTTACAATATTTAAGAACAGCCCTCAATACATGGGACTAAGATCGTACAATGAATTGAATTACCCCTGGATCTAAAAAATGTAAATGTTACTCAATTCAAAAACAAAATAAAATATCAAATAATTGGTAAAGCATAGGCTTATATTCATTGGAAGAATATTTGAAGAATCCTATTATGTAGTTAAAAATTCATTATATCATACTTTTACTATTGAGTTTAAATTAATTACATAAACTATTATTAATTTATTTTATGCAAAAATTTGACGAAACACTTGTTCTTATGTATGAATTATTGTACTTTATAAAGAACGTTTTGTGTAAATAAAATATGTCTATGTCTATGTCTAGTCCACATTGTAGGTTAACTGTCGGTCGTGTACCTGCATTGGAAAATGGCATTTCACGAACAGCGTGCGAACATTAAGTATTGTTTTATTTTAAAAAGCCACCTAGTGAGACTCTTGAGTTGTTAATTCAAGCTTATGGAGAAAATTTAAAAGAAAACAAAAGTTAAGTTTATGAGTGGCACAAATGGTTTCGTGAAGGCCGTAAAAGTATTGACGTATTGATGATGACCCTTGTTTGTAGTGAACGTCCTTTAACAGCAGTCAATGACGTAAACATTAAGTGAGTACAATTTCATCAATTGTTAATTTCCGATTTTCATAATTTCATACACAACTTGTCTTGTCGTACTCGAGATGCCCTCTCCAGAAGTTGTACTAACTATAGTCCGTCCGTTTGGCTATGATACCCAGTGGATTAGGGACCTTCTCGGAACTCATTTCACCCTCTCGACCCGTTCGTCGGGCTGCCCGGAGACTTACAGTGACTCATCCACTGTCACAGTCCCACAGGTCTGTAACTTTTTTGTTTTAAGTTAAAATAAATGTTTCTTTATAAATTTGAGTTCTACATGAAATTCCAAAAATAATGAGTCCAAACACGATGTGGATACTTAATATCTACGATCTGAAAGTAGTACAATTACTCTGTATCGTAACCAGCATTGTCCAACTTTCAGATCGTACATATTAAGTATCCACATCGTGTTTGGACTCATTAGTTTTGGAATTTCATGTAGAACTCAAATATACAAAGAACAATTTATTTTAACTTAAAATAAAAAAAGGGACAGATTGTGGGACTGTGACAGTAGGTAGGAAATCTTTTTATCAACGGCCAGCTTGGCGAGCGGGTCTGAAGGGTGAGTCGAGTTTCAAGAAGGTTCCTAATCCGCTGGGTATCATAGCCAAACGGACGGACTATAATACTGCAAGGCAAATTTCCCGCTCGCGATTGCGTCTACAGAAATTAATTCCGGAAAATGTTTGACTGTTATATGTATTAACAACCATTTTATTTATTCTATAAAAACTTATAGAGCTTGTACTGGTAAATACAAAAAATGTGTTAAAAGATACAGTTGTTTATTTAATTAACAGATTTTGCTAAAATATTATCAATAAAACTTAATCATTCTTTGGATAAAGGTTATTGCAAACACTATATCTATCTAAATAGTTTTTGTCGTCCCGGTTCCAAGAACTTGAATGACTTTATATTAGATTTATCTTCGTTGTTGTACACAAACTCAGGCAATAACGACAAAAACAAATTTAATATATCCATCTAAAAGTTAAGCTTTGAGACTTTTAGCAAACATTTTTTCATTATTACAGTTTTTAATTTAATCTTTGAGAAAATTCAACAATCATATTGATTAAACTTTCTAATGTCCTAGATATTGTCAAATATTATCACCCTGTCACTCTAAAATAAAAACAAGGGTCCTGCCTTGTCATGGTTTTATGAGCTAAGACCAGAGTATTATATTCTATTTGTTTCTTAAGGTTCAGGACACCCAACCTGTTATAATATTCAATTAATGTTCCTGTAATTGTTGATAGATAGAGAGAGAGAGAGACAATTGACAATTGACAAATTCTATATTTAACCTGCCCTGAGTTAGACCAAAGGTCCACTCTTCCCCCAGGACAGGAACATCAAATACACAAACAATACATGTACATGTAGAGAGAAAGAGAGAGAGAGAGTGGAAGGGGTAATTCATTATCTGTGTGTACTGTGTGTTGTAAACAAAGATAAGTGTCACAACTTTAGGTTATGTTCTAATGAGTTGCCTTTGCTCTATTGTGTTAAAGTCATTACAGTTGTAAGCGGCAAGCATCAAGTCTCAGTATAAGCTAAAGAAGGTATGTAGTTACGTTTACAACATCATGTTCAACAGGTAACAAGCAATTTTCAACTAAAAAAAGAAGATTTTTGTTACAATGTATCATGTACCTAATTATTATTTAAATTATAACTATATCAAATTTAAGAGATTTGTAAAATGTTAAATATGTTATCCGATATAGCAATCTTCAAATTTCTCATTATAAACAGTCCAATATTGATCGTTATAATAAGGATGATTATGTATCTGAAATAACCCAAATATAACAGCTTTTGTCCAATTGATAAGTTGGTTTAATTAACAGGCAAAACAAATTGATGATGATTTCTAATCTTTCTGTGGGTGAATGTTTGAACTGGGTATGCTATGTTCTTTATGACCTTTATTAACATTTGTGCTCTTGTGAAAAAACTGGCCTAAGTTGTCAAGGGCATGGGGATTGTTATTTTCCGAAATTTGTTCAAGCAGAAATGCCAATTCCTCCCCCAATTGATGTTAGAAAAATATAACACAAACTGTTAAAAATAGTCAAACTAACATCATATTGCACTTTCAATTTGAACATTATCCAAAATTTATTTCGCCAACAATGTGAAGAATTTTTTTAAAGCAAACATGCATATAGATTTTAAGATTATTTATTGTAAATTTTAAAATAACATATGAACTGTAAGTAGTATTTATTTTTTATATTGTGTGGTTTTAGAATGGCCAACTGGGGTGAAGAAAGTGGAATAGAGTACTGGACCATGTCCCCCGATAGAGCGGAAGAGGGACTGAAGGTGCTTCGAGATGGCTTTTTTACTGAAGAAGCATTCTGCTGCAACGTAGGGATTGACAGGGACATTGAGGGCCAAAGAGAACTTGAAAAACTCTGCCTTGAATGTGCCTTGGATGGAGTTTCAATCATAGCCGTGGACAAGGAAACAAATCAAATAGTTGGTGTGTGCTACAACAAATTACAGGTATATCTTCAAATGCTACAAACATTCAAAAAATAATAAAAACCCATTACCGGTAACTTTTGTATTGGGTTTTTACAGGTCCAGATTAACCTGACTTGACACACTTTTGACTAGAAACAATTTTTTGACTATGCACAATTCCATTCGCCAAGTATTAACACAGACAACGTTGCCAAATATAGGATCTCAAATCACACTGACTATCTCAGTAAGCAAAACTACTTAGAGAACAAATGGAATTTTAGAGTGTAGCTTACTCAGCTCAGTCAACTTAAATTTGAATTATAAAAATAACTCAATGGTCAATGGATAACAATGATGAGTCAATGGCTCAGTCGGTGGCGTCACAGACTTCGGGCTCAAGGCAGTGATGTCGTGGGTTCGGATCCTGGTCACTGCCGTAAACATTTGATCAGTACAGTTCACCTTCGTACTGTACTAGCTCACCCCTTGCTTTGCTGGATACGTTCCTTGCACGGGCAGTTAGTCAATGTGGACGGGCAAATGCAAGATTAAAAGAGGCCGCCAACCTCTTAAAAAAACAACAGCAAAAAACTTGGCTACACCTGGTCTATATAGGTGAGATTTCTACTTTAGTAGCCAAAATTAAATCGCTTAACATATATTTACTATGTATAATATTGAATTTTTAACCCCTATTTTGATAAAATTTGCTGGCTACAAATGATTTTCATATTTTACAATAGTTTTTTTTTATTTGTTATCAAACCTTTCTGCTTTTATGACCTTGCTGCAGCCATAGTTTAGGTTGAATTGGTATCAAACGTAAAATAAATTCACAGGTATGCAAATAAATTACACTTATTTCATGGGTGTCTGAAAACGTAGCAGAGCTCTGCTTTTGCTCAACCTATACGTACATTACCAAAGAAGAATCTCCCACCGCTGCAAATCTGCAGACTAAGCAAATTTCAATTTGTCTGATTTTTACAAAAATATTTCCTTAAAGAAGCAAGATTTATACCTTATTCAAATAACATTAGACTATGAATACCCAAGTTTGCTGCTACAGGAAAGGAAAAAGTGATGTTTTTTGTAATAATAATATACGGTATTATAAAAAAAATTTCCCAAATTCGATCACAATATGTTCATAAACAACCTTTGTACCGGTACCTTAACCTCAAAAACGAAGGCAAAAAGATAAGGTGATAATATAACTCAAGTTCTTGAAATTGGGATAAAAAAAGACAAATTAGGAAATTTTTGTTTTAAAGGTAAACATTTAGAAAACCAATACTGTATTTGAAAACTTTGAAAACCCTGTAGCAACTTATTCCCATGACACGATCTTAAAATTATTCAAGGGTATACAGCCCTTCATGTTCATGCTAAATTCCATTGCAGTCAGCCTGCAATTGCTAGACCAACCAGACACATATATACATTTTAACAAATAGTGTTTTGGTCTCTAGGGACAGTATAATGAAGAAGTAAATCAGTCCCAGGATTTGGTCTTACTGTAAACTTGGTACTACAGTAATAGCTTCTTCGTTATAGGGGAAACTTTGCTAATAGTAACTTTAGTAACAGTCCTTTAAGAGTTTATTGTAACTAACTAACAAATTCATTTATCATTAATATTTTACAGACTGCTCCTCCTCCAGGCCAGAAGAGCTTTTTTGAAGAGTTTCGAGACACAAAGTGTAAAACAAAGACTGCCAAAGCACTGATTAGTATGATGATGCAGGTAGGTCATTTCATAGTAATGATAGTCTAGCCTTGTGTTTGTGTTTTGTTCCTTGTCTAATTTCTAATTCCATACAATCGTAATAAACATACAATAAATCATAAAATATCGTGTCTTTATCAAAAAAATCAAAGTTGGTGGCAATATTGAAAAAATGGCGGCTAAAATTATTTTTTCATTTTGACCAAAATTGTTTGAATAAAAAATAGGCAGTTACAATGTAACATTTGTTTACATCTCTTATAACCTTCGAATACAATCAGCTGGCATACTTATATCAATCACCCTGTATTTAAGATTTTCTTCTGACTGCTAGCGGGCCATCCCCCCGAGGTGGCTTTTCACTGAATAATGTGTAATAGTAAGATACCCGGTAACTTTGTACCATAAAGTACACAGTTTTCATATTTTCTAATTAATGGAATCAATATTTTTTACATATTTTATGGTATTTATAGAATGTAGATGCAATTTTAAGATTTAGCAGACTCTTAGCATTTTCTCTCTACTCGTTTACTCGTTTTCACTTACTCATTTAGGAGCTACATGACCCGAACTCAAACGGACAACTGTGTAAAAATGACAGCTGTTCAAAGATTCATTGAATTTGCAATCCTTTTATATGCTATCTGCTCAGGTGGATGCCCGCTAGAAGTCAAAAGTAAATAATAAACGTAAGCATGGGTTAATATGCACATCAAACTAAAGGTCTTTATTAGTAGAATACTACAAGGCCAAAAACTCAACCTAAAAACACTGAGTAAAAAATGGCAGATTCAAGAAATCTTTAAACCGCTGCCATTTTTGACTTGGTTTTTTTGACATTTTTGTCTGGGTGGTTGTCAGTCCAAGTTCAAATTTGCCGCATTGTATTCTACACTAGTATAATTCAGGACATCTCTGAGTTTAATTCAAGACACTAAGTATGTTAGGTTTTACTAAACATCCTTTAGTTTGATGTGTATGCAAGTATGCACAATAAGCTCGGTTGACGTGCTAGGACCCTGAGTCAACTCATCTTAACAACACAATACAATGGTTATGTTAAAGATTTTCTTCTGACTCCAAGCAGGCCGTCACCCTGAGGGGTTTCACTGAATAATACCGATATGTTAAAATGATTTTAACACCCAGTAACTATCTACCTAGTTTTATAGCTCTATCTTGATATTTTTTTTAAATGTTCAATTGTCCCAGGATTTTTTTCCACCCTGAATATTGGAGTAGTTAAAACAAACCTGGGATTAGAAGGTCTAAAGGAATAATATTGGATTAAAACAGTGAACAGCTCAATATGAAGTTGTGGAATGGGTGTGTTTTTGTGAGTCAAACCGCAAACCAGCTGGTGTTTGCTACAATTAGCTTATCCTTGCTGAGTGTTTGTCCAATTGCGAACTTTAAAATAATTAATTTTTTTCTGTTTAGAAGTTGAAAGGAAAACATAATAACAATAAGCTTGAATAAATCACAGAATAATAGTTCTAGAGTTCAAATGAGTAAATATACATGGAGTTGGTTAGTTACAAAAATTATATTTGGGACCTACTAACATTTTGCATGCACTAACTTTGATTTAAGAATTAATTATTTAGTATTTTATCAACTCTTGTAATACTATAAGTTAAGATACATTAATTGTTTTAATACCTATTTAATTTGGCTTATATTTATGTTTTATTGGGTATTAAATTGCATTTTGTTTGATATTTTGCGAGGACTTTAATTGGGAAACTGGATTTTGGAGGAGTTAGTGTCAGTTTCTTTAAATGTATATTAAAGGTAATTTAGATTTTTATAGCATCTATTTCTTTTCCAGTTTGATAGTTTGGTGGACTTGTATGATAAGTACGATGCTACTAGCAGTTTTGAGCTTATGTTTCTCGGAACACACCCTGACTGCAGAAAGAGAGGGGTGGCGAGTGGTAAGTACAATAACAACCACAACTATATAATATTGTACAAAATGTTGGCAACACACCTTGCATTCCATTCAGGACAAAGTTTTGCTTGAAGTGAAAAGTAAAATTTTTTGAATCATTCTAATTTAACATTACTATCTCTTTACACCTTTGAAATAGCCAAGTTTGTTTAGGCCTACTTACACTAATATCCCTCTTTTTAATACAAAATAATTCATAGGTATCGCAAAAGAAATGATAAAATCTATTTTAATATCCATTTATTCTTTCATAACATTTGAGACTATACCCTTTTAAGAGAGATTAAACATGTATAACCATTTTGCCTAATTATTACAAAACTTGATCAAAAACATCTTTTATATCCAAACTGAAAGATACATCGAGCCAAAAAATAGTGATACATTTTTCAAAGAGAAGTGGGAAGGCTATGGTTGCCTACTGACAGATAGATAAGATAATAGGTTGGAGGGGAAACAGACAGGCAATTAAAAAAGGTATCATGGATCCACAACACATTTAAACGAAAAGATAAGAGGAAGATTTGTCAGTAGGGGGAAGTAAACAGATTCCAATCCATTACTCATTGTGTTTCGGATGCAGTTATGCCAACATTTGAAAGTCACATTTCCCTGTTTTTTTACAAAGTTTTTAAGACTGGTTTTATGTTACTTTTAAAAGGCACCAAATAAAGAAATTTATTGATAGGATACACCATTTGTGATAATACCCCCGTCGCAGCAAACCTGTAGACTAAGTGAATTTCCATTTGCCTGATTTGATTCACACTGAAATAGTTCCTTAAAAAATGTCAGATTTATTACCTTTTAGCAAATAATTACCCATTTAGGAAATAAGCTTCTCATGGTCAGACCCTATTATTTTTTCTTTTTGAGGTCCCAGAGGGCAAAAATACCATCTATGTACGATTCAACTTTATAAAAGTTCTTTCTTACACAGTAAAGAAACACTTCTCTTCCACATTAATACTTATAAACATTGTATCTCTTTCTCATTGACGTTGGTGTCAACTTTTAAATCCATCCAAAATATAGATACATCATTGAAAAATTTCTTAGCATCCAACCCAATCTCTTTGTAACATTTTTAAATGATAATATAATTTCTATTATTTTTCCTTTTACAATAATATTGTATCTTTTGAACAGGCTGTGTTAAAAGTTCACTCTCCCTCGTAAAAACGCTAACACCGCCCAAGCCAAGCATCATGACAGCTATCTTCACATCACCATTCTCTATCAGAGTTGGTCAATCTTTAAACTTTGACAAGGTGATTCACGTGCCTATGGAGGAGACGATTTATGAGGGAAAACCCTTCTCTGAACATCCGAAAGTTGGAAAAAATCATCCCGGGAGTATAGTTATGGTAAAACGGCTTTAACAATGAACTTACTATAGACTACTGTACTTTCTGTGTACCAGCTATTATCAAATAAATGTTTACGTTTGAAATACTCAGAGATATTTTCCTATGCTACATATTCATTTTCTTTCATACTATAGTATTAGTAACAGTACAATGGAAAACCAAATTTTGTACCTATATACAATTTTTAATCATGAAAATCTTTCTTCATGAGTGAAAATGTTTTCATAAAAGTTAGTGGTTCTATGCACCAAACAACACCATGTAAAGTTGATATTTAAACTTACATATTTCATGTAAATTGTATTTCATCATTTTATGTGGTCTAATAGAATTCCATGACAGCAACATACTATGAGCTTGGTTTAGTCAATCTGTTGGGATGATAAGGCTTAAAAAATCTTTTGTTTACGGTGGGTGTAAAGAAAAATAATTAAAAGTTCTTTACTTATTTAATTGATTTAATCAATCATTATTTAATCACTCTCATCAAATAAAAATTTATTCACACCTTTATATAATATAATTTGATATTCCATAAAAGTGTGAAAATAACAAAAAGTTGCCCCCTGGTGGGGTTTTAACGAATTTAATTTACTTTAATTAGACTAATGAGGACATGTAACTACAGAGCAGTGCGCAGTGGAATAAAAGATGTTAAGTGTGGGCCCTTGTAATTAAATACCTCAGAAGTCCATAAGGGGGGATCGAAGAGATCTGATTAGTTGTCCTCCTTCACACCTTCCTCAGCTTAATTCTAACACTTCTTAATAACTAATAGATGTGTTTATTTGAACACTCTATGAATGAAATGTTTGCTCTGATGAAAGATTGTGATATGAATTGATTACTCTGTAAACTGTAATATTGCAAATATTAAAAGATTGAAAATTGGTTGCAAATATTTATGAAATCTGTTTGTTCAGAAAATATTGATCAAAGTATGATTTCAAGTTGTTTATATACACTTGATTCGGTTAAGCCGATTACTCATAAATTCATCAACTTGATATTAATATTGGGAGCTGAACTTGTAAAACTTGCACTGTCAAAAAAATGCATTTATAAAATGTGATTATCAATATTCTTTGAGTATACTTTGCATACTTTGTTCTGTTAAGCCGATTACCTTTAAAAATTTACCAATTTGATATTAAAAGTACTAGCTGAAACACAGGCAAATGAAGAGATAGAGATTTGTAAAAATACTGTATTGAATAAAATATTGAGCTGTGATATAAATATAATGTCAATAACCTTTACACAATAAATAATAGTTTGAGAGACATTTGACATTTCTTTATTTCACCTGCTGTGATTTAGACCTCGATGGTCCAATCTTCCTTCCATCACAACAGGCACAAAAACACATTACAATACATTGTTGTGGTTACACTCAATAACATATTTAATACAATGCCGAATTTTATATCAATTCACAAGTTATTTAATGAAATATTGTAGCTATACTACAACAACAGAGAGAGAGAGAGAGAGAGAGAGAGAGAGAGAGAGAGAGAGAGAGAGAGAGGAGAGAGAGAGAGGGAGAGAGAGAGGGGGGGAGAGAGAGAGAGAGAGAGTTGATTGTCTGACTGAATTTGTGAATTTTTTTCATTTTAAAATACAAAGCCTCGGGAAATCTAGCCTTGATGATTTTATTTATTTATTTTAGGTCACCAGACTCCCCAAAGATGTTCATATGTTTATCAACTGGCCAGTTTACAATTTAATACAACAGGGAACATTATGTAGGTTTGTGATCTACATCACTCCTTGTTGATCAGTGCAAAGGGGCCAATCGACTACTGAGTCGATTACTTGATAACTTTTATTTAATATGGATTCTTTATGAATTTAATGGGAGTCAATCCTCATGACCCTTTACCAACCCTAGCCTTCGACCGAGTACTTTGTTTCCCCCATTTACTTTACACAATCAAACTCTCACTATTAAAAATGTGACACTCTGTTAAAAAAATTATTACCATACATGAAATACAAAATGTTATAAATAGTTATACTGATGGTGGTAGAATTTGACCCTTACATAAAACATAAAAATTTAATACTATATCACAGATAAACAAAACTCTTCAATTAATTTACTTTTTCCATTTCAATTTAATAAATAATTTTCAATTGACTAGAATTACTATTACAGCCTAAACTCTTTGTATAACAATGAAAAATGTAATGAAACATTTTTTTCTCTGAATTTCGTGACCATGTGCTTCGACATGCCAAATGAAACATGAAATATTTGGACCAACTGTGCCATGATTTCTGACTGGTAAAAATGAACTGTACATGTGTAAAAATGGCAGATATAGGCTGAACTAAACTATTTCTAAAACACAAATGACACAAAACATTCACTTACGTACACATGTCGACATATTTACATTCACACTGACGAAAGATTCACATGGACGGAACATTTAAAAACTAACTCGTAGTATTTTGTCTGACCGAGCAAAATTTCACGACACGGTTTTTTCCAAGGTAGGACTTATTAATTCTTTTTTTTTCGAGCTGGTGTTTATTGATTCAATTTATCGATTTGATGCATGTACGAATTTTCATCACGAACGCAAACCACCAATCCAGCAACTTTCTCGACTTAATACTAATAAAAACCTACCCCCAATTGCAGTTCGGCGAAATTTTGACAATTGCGATCAATTGATGCACGTACAATTTTTTTTTGCATGTACAATGCACGCACGGGTGGCCCTGTCTGATGAGTCTGGCAGTCCAATGTCCTAGAGTCTCCCCTTCCCAGCTTTCTTGCCACATCTGAGAAGTGCGGAAGCGCTCTTCCGATTAGCACCATCTTTTACTCAACAACCGTTAATATAATTCAAAATCAAATCAATCCTCTTCTCTACCAGAAAATAAGGCTTCAGCATTGGCATCGCACAGCTGAATAAATTAGTCTTGAACCTAAAATACATATGATATTGTTGTTTTCCAGTAAAATTCATAGAAAACGTTTTAAAACAGTGTGAAAACCTGAAGCAGTGTGTCATTAAAAAGGGTCTTGCTACATATGGGGAAACTGTAAAGAGCAAGCTAGTCTAGAGCACCGGACTTCGTCCCCTCCCCAATGTCCCGGGTTCAAAAACCACAAATCGCCAATGGATTTTATCTAAGTGATAATGCCGCGACCCTCTCTAGACCTATCCTGAAGTATTGTGAAAACAATCCCAGGCTAAAACTTGGAGGAAATATATAATATATGGAATAGCTGTTTGTGTATTAAGAGCCCAAAGTACGTCATTGCCGCTCGAGAACTGTAGATTTGACATTTCGAGAGAAGCAGTGACTGTTTGTACTTGTAATACACACAAGATTTTTCCTACCACCAAAATTAACATGTAATTTAAAATGTAATTTTGGTGATATTTGATTTAGGGTTATGTTATTTCTTACCAGTTGTTATTTAATGTACCAGATCCGTGGCTGTGATTGGTCTAGAAACGACAACTGGGAAATAAGCTGATTTAGTGAGTGGGAATGAGCCATTCCCGTTCTAGAGCGGCAATGAGCTATTTCACAATCTTTTTACAGGTAATTTGCATGAAGAGGTAGGAAAATTGTATTTTAAGTGTTATATTTTGCATTGGATTATACTGGTCTAATCTACTGTAAAAGTAAAACCCATCAAGCTCAACACTCTCCTCAAATATATATTACAAGGGATTCGGGTTTTAACATTTTCATCAGTGGAGTAGTTGTAAATTTTCCAGTGCGTAAACGCTCACCACTGTTGTAGAAAAAATAGGGTCACCTATTACGGTAATAATAGGTTCTTTGGAAATAGCAGAGTGGGGATGCCGATTCCGTTCCTGCTCCACTACCACTGTTTTTCATCCATCTACAACTTCAAAAGAAAGCTGAAATTAATATAACTCAGGGAAAACTTTTATGTTATACTATGCCTATTTTTTAAAGGAACTTAATCTAATAATGCAAATCTGTTTAAGACAGAGGTTGGTTGATGCTCACTTAATATAAAGAATTGAAATAAAATAAAGAATTCCATTCCACCCTGAAGATCTTGAATGTCTTTTTGGAAAACGAAGATTTAGTTTTGTTTTAACTTATCCATGTGATTAATCTTTATCAATATTTAAAACTGTCGAGTCACTTTTTATATTGAGAAAAAGTTGTGGAAATTAATATTCTGTACAGAATTAGCTGAGCAAATAAATCTTACGTATTTGTTTGTGTAGGTTTTTTTTGTATTGGCAATAATCCTTTAAAAAAAACCAAGATAATGAGTACACTCAAGACAAAAATAAACACTTAGAAATACCATAAAACAATGTTATCGTGACATCATTGATCCCATTTAATCATTTTATGATCAATAGTCTAATCTCAATGTAACCCTGTTAGCAGTCTTATTTTAAACCAAATATTACAGTTTTGTAACCTATATTAGTGCATTCTTTTCTAAAAAAATATAGAATCATGAGTAAGTTGATAGTGTTATAATGCATCTCTGGCATAAATAGTACTGAGGTTAAGTTCTCTTTTGTTGTACGAATTAATCTAGAAACTAGACCATCACGCTTCACTTTCCTTATCCACAAATCACAACCCCAGGACTTGAATGGAAAAATAAAACTATATATTGTGTTAAAATATGTTTTATTTTGTTTTAAGAACACAATATATATTTATATATTAATACTTACTTTAATATAAAAAGCACCAAAATATCACCAGAAGAATACTATAAATACCGGTAAAAGGTATCCTAGATATCAGCTGTTAAATTGCAAACATAACAATTTCCTCTATTTGCCATGAAGCAGATTTTTTCAACATTTTATAAAATGCCTTTTCACTCAAGATTTAAGTAGGTGTAATGGAACTGGCTGAATTCTCATAGAAAACTTAACATAACATTAAAACATAAATTGTCTTGAATGGTGCTAATTCTGCTCTAGTTTAGGGATGTACAGCTAGCGTCAGCTAAGCTGGCTCATGGTGGCCTGTGGGCCTGGCGCGGCACCATAGGCGGGGGGAGGGTGGAAACTAGCTTAAGACCGTTCTGAGAACATCGGACTGTCAGACGTGAGGTCCCGCGTTCCGACCGGGCAACTCTGCGAACATCTCGGCTGACTCACGGGGTTGACGTCCTAAACAAACTATGACTAATAGAGAGGGCGCTGTTATGACAAATCTTGCACGTTCCTAAGCACTGTGTCTACTCAGTAGTGAGTTTTGCTTGTGCAGTGTCACAGTGGATCGTGAAGTGGACTGTTTTCATAACGAAACGTGTGTGAGTTTTTTTGTCATGGCAGAATTTAAATCGAAAGTAGGGATTGGTGGTAAGGTTTTAAATAGTCAGAGTAGGGAAATCGTGGCAAATGTTTATACATTTATGAAAGAGGAGTGCAAGAGCGGCATTACAATACCACTACAGAAGGCGAGGGAGCGGACCGCAGCAGCAACCGGTGTATCTCAACGCTCTGTTACCCGGATAAACAGCGAACTAAATGCTTTAAAGGTGAGTGAGGATGATAATAAATCTTTTTTAACACCTCACAAAACAAAAAGGAAGAAAAAGCCGATTACTGGCCTAGACCATTTCGATGAATGTGTGGTTCGTAGGACTGTCTATGAATTTTACATAACAGAAAAAAGACTGCCGACGTCAAAACTGTTGCAGAATTCTCTTAAAGAAAAGTTGAACTTTCAGGGAAGTCAATCAAGTGTTCGGAGGATTTTGAAAAAATTAGGATTTTCCTGGAAAAGGACACAGAATAATCGGAGGATTCTAATTGAAAAATCTGAGATTAGGGAAAAGAGAATAACTTATCTCCAGTCACTCAAGCGATTCAGGTCGGAAGGGAGACCCATCGTGTACATGGATGAAAGTTACGTATGTTCAGATCACGTATCTGGGAAAATGTGGTCGGATGGATCAAATAATGTTTTGCATACGCCCGTGTCCAAAGGAGAAAGACTGATAATAGTTCACGCTGGAGGGGAACAGGGGTTCGTCCCAAACGCTTTGGCCATGTGGAAGGCAGGCCAAAAATCCGGCGACTACCACGACAACATGAACAACAAAAATTACATGCAATGGGTCATAAATCAACTGATACCAAACTTAAATCCTAACTCTGTATTGGTTATTGACAATGCGAAGTACCACAACAAGCAAATTGATAAGGCCCCGACTTCCAATAGTAAAAAAGAAGAAATGACAAAGTGGCTTTCCGAGCACAACATTTCCTACGATCCAACAATGCTAAAACCTCAACTTTACAAACTCATTCTTCAACACAAACATCGATATGTCAAATATGTCCTGGATGACATCTTGGAAAGGGAAGGCCACAGTGTACTGCGTCTGCCCCCGTATCATCCTGATTTGAACCCAATCGAGATGATATGGGCAGATGTAAAAAACTATGTTGCATCACACAACACGACCTTCAAATTGTGCGATGTGAAAAAGCTTTGTGAAGAAAAGTTTTCTTCGATATCGCAACAGGATTGGGAATGTAAGTGTAGGCACGTTAAAAATGTGGAAAATGAATACGCCGCCAAAGAGCCAGCCATCGATGAAATAACGGAAAGTTTTATCATTAATGTAGACGACAGCACCAGCGACGACGAGGGAACGAGCGACTCCGATGAATTCAGCGATATGTCTGGGATTGAGGAATTATGATGGACCAACTCCTGATGGACCCATGGGGTTTGTGGCAGTTTAGTTCTATTAAGTTATTTCTTGTAAGAACATTTATTTGAATAGTTTTTTAATGTATGATTTAAAAGCGCAACCTAAGCACCCATGCTCCCTAGTTACATTAACAACTGTTCATAAAAAGTGTTTAGAAAGTTTAGTTTATTAATTGTTAATGGATGCAGTGCATACAACCATACAACACATCTAGCATTTTGTATGCCGTCTACTGAAGCGCCTTCAAGAGAGCAGTGAGGGCAGTAGACGCAACCCGCATGACGGCAGACAATATTTTTAACCTAGGCTAGTACAGAATTTCTATCTATCGGTCACGCGCCAGCTTAGCTGACGCTAGCTGTACTATATGAAGAATAAACACTCTGTTGGCAATCTATAACATAATAGTGGATGTTACCCTCAAAAATATCCTCAATTTACCACACATATTGTTATTGTCCTAATCTTGAATTAAAGCACAATATTTGCCTGAGATAAAAAAAAATCCATGGAGTGTCCTGCTTTTTATGAAATCTTTTGACGGTCACATATATTTAATATATTTAATACTTATATGCAGTTAAAACATTAATTTTTAATCTCATATAAAAAATCTCAGAATATTTTATTATAGAGACATTTATTATTAGAGACATGTTTTGTTGTTACTAGGATTTTAATGAGTCTGTTAGAAATCATTATAGCAGACTTATTTCACGTATTGGTTAAATTTATACAACGTATGGACCTAATCTTTCCTGTTTTGGCCTTCAAAAGCCCATACTTTCTTATCAGCTGATTAAGTAAATTCTAAAGTAATCCTAAATTGTAAACACAGTTACCCTCACTTATGGTTTCCAAGTCATCCAGATTAATTTAAGTCTGGATTAGATAAAAAATAATCTTAGTATAAAGAAATACAGCCCTTTTCAGGGAAGTTTGAGAACCCCTTTATATATTGAAGCACCATTAAAAAAAATACTTAAAAGGAGTATTTTCAATAATACAGATAAACGGTAGTACTGTACTAATATACAAACACACATAGTCTTAAAGGCTTGAGTACTTAAGACTTGTATACAGTGAATTGCTACACTATCTGATTTTATTATAATTAGAGTGAAAAATACTCTGAGTATTGCTTTCTAAGTATTATAAATATGTATACATTCTGTCCATGATTTCATTATGTAAGTTTTTCATAAAATTAAAACTTCAATTTAAAATTGAAGAACTATAATTATTTCTGCAATTGAAGACAAAGTTGTTCCTTAGAGCTTGAATTGTTCAATTGAATTTCCTGAATTCAGCCATATTCTCTCAGTTGTCAACGGTGGATCTGAAAAAGGAAACAACACATTTAAGAAAATTAGCAAAACTCATCAGTTATTGTATCTATTAAAGTGGAAATGAGTTATATAAAATATATTCAACAACACACATATTCAGTTCAAGGTATGATGAATGCTTCAATTATTTTGTATACAATTGATACTATAATTCAAAATTCAAAATTCTTTATTAAGTGCTCTTATACAGCTTAACAGCCAATTACATAAGGCACTAATACACAATAGAGTGAAAATTTAAAAACGTACGTTTTCATGTCCCTGGCCTTTTACTTCGTAGCTACTGGATTTGTAGTTTATTATTATGTGTTTTAATATTTTTTGGGATGGGGGCAACATGTTACACACATTTATTTGGTTTTAAATAGGTTCTAGGTATTTTTTTCGTATTTTTAAAGTCTCGAAATTCACGACCATGACGTGTCCCTAGGGTACATTTTCCAACTTTCACGCTGTTTTTAGACTAATTATTCATGCAGCAATATATAAAGCCATATTTTTATGTCATCAATGGTTATTAAACTTACAAAAAAGGAGCATATTATAATTTTATTGTCATTGCAAACTGACTACCATGACATAATAAGTCTGTCCCTCGATTTGGCGTCACGACCATTTGGGAAAATTTTTCAACTTTGGAGCACGACAGTGGCAAGCCTGGCATGGATGGAGTCAGTTGGTTTTAGAGACTAGCTCGGGGTGTACGTCAGGATTGTAGTGCCGGTCGTTTCGAGTTGAAAGGAGGAATTACAAGATTAATACAGGAAAGGTTGTGTTTTTTGTAATTTTGGTGTGTCCATGACCGTACATAGTCATTCGATGAAGTAGACATGGTGTTAATTTTTGTTTATAAGATATTTCAATTGCTAGATTAACCTAGAAGTCCACTTTGTATCCTCGAACATGAGGTGCAGAGCTACCGCCAGAACAGAGCCAAATAACACGTAATTTCACGACCAAAGTTTCACGACCATCGCGGGTTTTTTCACGACCTATCCAGCCTTATGGATTATAGTGTGTTTGGTCGTGACAATAACTTAAATATAATTGTAATTTGAACAGTTTAGTTCAATTGAAACACATATTTTTATTATAACTAATAGTATAATTAAAGGATTGTTTAGAAAGATTTAGATTTTTTTATAAAATTCACGACCGTACCGCTTGTCCCTGACCATAACGTTTATGATTTCTGTCATAAAAATTTCAAAAATTAAAATATCGTCATATTTCAATGTTTTATACACAAAAGAAGCACGCCTCTATGCAAACATAACGATTTTTAGGGTCTCAGGTAAGTTTTTTCGGAGTTATACAAACTTAAAAAGATATTATTGGCTTTTTTTCAATTTTTTTGAGTTTTTTATTTTTTTCTAGAAAGACCAAATATACTAAAAGCTCAGTGACCTTTTTAATGTATAATGGTCATAAAAGTAAATTAGTTTATAGCAAAACATAGTTATAAAAATAATATTAACTATTTTTAATATTCATTTAAACGTCTGTTATGGTCGTGACAGGATTTTGTGTTTTTCCACTAAAGATGCTCTTTAAAAAAAAAACTACCAAAGATATTGCGTTACCATGGACATTTTATGAAACTTCAAATGTTAATGAAATCGAAAAAATAATAAAAGTTTTGAAAAAAGGGGAACAAAATTTGCAAAGTGTGTTTCCTGAAAACGTACGTTTTTAAATTTTCACTCAATAACATAAATTACATGCAGGACAACTACCCTACAGCAAACAGCATACAACTTTGATACATACACATAAAAAATATTATAACAATTGAAATAAGCTTACATTCCGTCAATAACAAAACTAAACAATGTTAATTTCATATATTATTACTTGAAAAAGTTGCATCTGCAATGTTATTTTACAGATACAATATACTGTAATGCAATAAAATAAATTGTTGCATTGTTATGTTTATTGTGTTGATCCATCAAATATCACCACATGTAAAGTAGATGAACAATTAATGTATGGTAACAAGGTCATTATAATAAAATGCTTGCTCTCATACATTTTTGTCAATCCGTTTAAATAAAGTATTATAAATATTGTTATAGTGTGATAATAATAATATTGTTCAAATTAGTTGTTACTCTGACCTTACACTTGATTTGTACTAATATCATTTGTCAAAGTCTGTTCTGGTCTTGTGACAGTAAAGAATTTGTATTTGTATTTTTTTTAAATATTGTTTAACTTTGCACATACCATTCTTAACAACATTGTTACAAACAACAGAATATTTTATATTTTTTTACGTATGCCAAATTAATCTGTACTTTGTGATAAACAGGATCAATTTAAATCTTTGTTTAGAAGTTAGTCTGTATCCTTAAGCTAATAAGATTTCCAACTTAATTTAAACATTCTTGCCACCAACACTGAAAATGATAAACTGAAACCAGTAAATTTCAGTCAAACCCAGGATGTCTCGTATCAGTCATGCAGCCTGCGTCGGTCTGTTCCAAATTTAATAGCCGGCCTGATATTTAAATGTCATTAAATTTTTTAATGCCTTTAATGCCGTGTCTATATGGGTACATTAACGAGGATGTTTGTTGGATATAAACTTTTAATTTTAGGTCGGATTTAACATGGGTCACTCGACCCAAAACTAGTAATCCACTTCCACTGAAAGATAAAAAAACTGAAGACGGATTAGGTTCTCAATAATCAAAGATTGAAATTTTGCTTGTTCATTTTGGAAATGCACATTTCCTTTTAACAAAAACGGTGATTTTTGTTAAAGAAATCCAGATCCTAAGACAGGAATGACAATTTGTTTCTCACCAATGTGAAGATATTGGTCTGGAAGACCAGAGTCCACCCTTGCAGACTCCAGACATCTGCGCAGAGCAAACACTACCCCGATAGACATGTTGAGGGGAGGCTCCCCTGTGGCTGCAAAACAGAATCTTTCATTAGACGGACTGGAGTACAAAACAAAGTTTGTATCGCATGTTCCAGCGTGCAGCTTTAAACACAACCAAGTAAATGATGTTGATATACACGATCTTTATACCGACCGTGCGCTTTTTGGGCTTTCTTCACACCATGAGAGGGGTTTAAATGAGGTAAAGTACCTCAAGGAAAGGAGTAAACTAGACACAAGAAATGTGTCACAGCGATATAACTGTAATCTTAGTAAAAAATTATTTCAGTATTTAATAACCAAAGTGTATTCACAATACTCCAGTTAAAACAGTAATATGTCATCCAAGGAATGTCGGAAACCCTAGAAAACCCACCTCTTCTTGGCTCTCCGTCTTAAGTTAATGTGAACACTTTCTCTTCTTTTACTCACCCTCCATCTTCTGTCTCTCTTTACCTCCACTCTAGCAATTGCTACCCATGCCTTGCTAGGGAGGACCATCAATTAAGAGAATAACATTAGCAATGCATTAGATTAAGATATTATCATTTAGTAAAATCATGGCATGTTTTACCATTTCCCCCATATTTTCTAATGTGAAACCTTAGAAATAATAATGCACTGAAAAACAACAAAAAGTGTGTAAGTAAATTTTGTATGTCCCTTATCTTAAGCTTTAATTTGTTTAAGTATGTCCATGAATATTAACAGTTTTATAATAAAAACTGACAGGACAAATCAATATAGTGTTTTTTTACCTATTTTTGTATCAGTTCAAATAAGATGTTTCTCACTTTACTACAACCAAGGTTTTGCCTCTGGTTGCGTCATGATCACACAAATATTGTAGAGATTATCAAACCTCAAAAGTTGTCAAAAACATGATAAACTCTTAACTTCTAATGTAAGAGCTAAAAATTGTCCAATCTTTTATTGTTTCTAATAAAGGTCTGATCAAAAAATTCTATAAACTGACTTATGAAACACTGTATCTAGATATAAATTCATACTTATACAATTTTAGAATTTGAATATCATATTCTTGTATTTACCTTTAGACTTAAGAACTCCAACAGGGTTAGGGGCATTTTGTCTCATTTGGACTCTGAAGTCAATGGGAATGTCCTTAGCACCAGGAACCTTGTAGGTCTAGAAACATGTATAAGGCATAAACACACTTTTTTTCTTTCTATACATTATACATATTAATATTTTCCAGTCAAATGGCAGTTCTGGTGCATATTGAAGCTAGTAAATATTTTTCAGTAGGTATACAATAAATACAAAACATGCAAAAATGTAAAGTTATACAATCTGTAATAGACAATCGTACATGCTCACACAAAAATCAATATGCGTTTGAAACATGATAAATAAGAAGTAATAATAAATAAGCACATTCATAGCAAATAACATATAAATCCCAAACAAAAACAATTGGCAATTACTAAGGTGAAATTGGTGGTTTTAAATTAGAGCAAAAGTAACATTTGAGAGAAAAACAAGCAATAATATAAAAATAACTAATACACAAGCACTAAATGCAATTTGTGAACAAAGATGTTAACGTGCAAAAGACATACTCTTTAACTTCATTTGGTACTACTTTTAATAAAATATTGAAGTTTTATATTGATAAAGTTGGGTTTTTATTTGGTAGAAAAGTAACAAATAATGTGCTCACTGTCAGATGTACTGAGACCAGTGCATACATTTTATAATAAATCTCTTGGAAATGTATACTGTATTTCTCCAATTATGAAATTTCCTATGATAATCATTGTTACTCAATAAAACAATAAAGGTGTTTACAAGCACTGAACTGACTAAAGTTTCTTAATTGCTAAGTAATCTACAAATGTGCTTCCAAATCAATAAAAATACTTCTTGAATAAAAACAAACAATGAGAAAAAACAACAGCAGTGGTGATTTTGTAGTGGGGCATTTAAGAAAAACCAGAAAGTACAAAAAATATGTCTACAATAACACTTGTAATAATATATTTACACTTATACTGTCGCCTCACAAGACGGTAAATACACATAAAAGATGGTAAGTGGTGATCGATTTCGATTGGACACTCCAATTATCATCAGACCCAATAATAGACGAATGACAAGAACCTCAATGGTGTCCCTACTTATATACTATTAGCTACCGAAAGTACCGGTCAAGAAGTTTCTATAAGTACCTACAACTGGAGTCAAAATTTATTTGTTCATTAATTAGCTTCTTTCTATTTTTACATTTTTCCTACATTTTCAACAAGGTTAACAAATAATCTTGTTTATAAAACTGTAATAAATAGTCTGATAAAATTTGTAAAGTGGCGAGAGTGACTGAATAGTAACAAATTATTACACTTGCATTTGTTAGGGATGTTGTAAGGCCGTGAATTTGGGCCTCTAGGTTTTAGTAAACCTTTTCTCGCTGCAAAGTTTGAGCTTGAAAAGTTATATATATTTTTAATGAAGGACGAGAGAAACATAAATCCAAATCAAATGTATAAAGTTGTTTCATAATTAAAATTTCAAATTAATTAATTTAATCAATTTAATTTTCTATGGACGAATAATCACTATCTCTACCAGTAGAATAAAAGTAATTGTTGAAAAATGTTGACATGATATAGATAAATAATGTGTACTTACCCACGTACGGTTAGTCAGATTTCTGCCTGTTTTGTGATCGTAAATAAGATCTTCACTGGTGTATAGACCGAGACCCATGACATATGCTCCCTCTATCTGGCCAATGTCCACCTCCGGACTCAGACTTGTACCACAATCCTCCAGAATATCTACTCTGGTTATCTGTTTGATAAGAATAAATTGTTGAAAGTCTTCAACCTTTCAAGTCCTTGAGGTTTCAAGGACTTTAAGAAAACCTTATCAAGTTTATGAATCTTGAGGACAATCTTTAATTTAAAACCTTTGGAATCAAAACTATTAGGTATATGAAAAAAAATAGCATAAAACTATCTAGAATAAAATCAATTACTATTATTACAAGTGTAAATAGGTACTTAAACCCTTGATAAATATATAGACTAGCTTCCATTTCACATTTATCTAATATCCTAAGCTGGCTTGTTGTTCAACTTATATTTGATCATTGATGGTCCAGAAACTTTTTCAGCTGTTACACATTGTGGTTTAAGCTGAAAGTTATAGTTAGAGCTGTTTATCTTCGATAAAAAATACTAAATAGCTTCTTGATTAGCATGCTGTTACTGTTATACAAATACAATAAGATATATCTACCAACTCTCTTTGCAAAAAAAATGCTTACAAGGAATTGTCCGGTCAAGATGTCAAGCAATACTTCTAGCACAGCAACACCGTAGATGGAGTAGCTTTTCACGTCATCTTTTGGAGTGAACCTACAATTTAGAATTAAATCATGTATAGAGTACACAACTTTTAGTTTCTGTAAACAATCTAAGTCAATTTTTATAAACATACAAGTGTGACGGCCCCAAAAATTCCCAGACCCATAACATATCAGCTGGGGAGGATTTTTTTAGATGCACCCTCAGGAAACCCTGTCAATACCGTCACAAAAGCTTTGCTTTATTTCAAATATAAAAGGAGGGTCTGTAATATTGAACTGTTGTAACCTCGCAACGTGTGCGTCAGCCAGTTGTCTCACCATGGAACATTCCATCAGCCACGCCAGGCCAGGCCAATGTTCCCAGAAGTATAACGCGCATGGCTGGAATTTGCTGAGCTCTGGTCAGCAACTACAGTTTGTCTAACGCCCCGAGTCATCGTTAGGCAGCAGCACTGTCCAGTGTTGAACTGACGTCACGCGGCATAGCCGCAATGTTGATTGGCTGGTGCCCGTCCACGGCCAACTTGGCTACGGACGGAGAACACTCAGTTGAAGTTAGTCTAAATTCAAAATTTGTTTCGGTTGGTCGCCTAAATTTCCCCGTCGCCTTTCCCCCCTTTTCCTAAAATGGAATTAATCATGACAATCTTCATCTTAGCATTGTAAGCCTATAACTTAACTTAATTCGGAATTGTATTTTCTTATAAGCTAGTACTTTGTGTTTATACATTTATTAATATAGCAAATTGAAAGTTACCTCATTAGTTATTTTATTATAATAAATTAATCATTCGTTGCAAAGTTTGTAGTTTCATTCGGCAACCTGTCACACAAGAACTCATCATACTTATCAACTAGCTTTCATATTAATTTATGGAGATCAAATCTCCCAACTGTTATCAATAATGAGCACACCTTTTACCTGTGGAATGGTAAAACACCTATTTATTATGTTTTTAAAAATATTTCCAGGATCTTTTGCATTCCATTTGGAAGCTCAGATATTTTGGGAAGTTTGAAAATGTTATGTCGGTTCCAAATATAGCCCGTCACTTTTTGTCACAGACAATTGTTTGGCCCAATTTTTAAGTACTCAAACTGATTCTTAAACAACTTATTCAATCATTCTCTACCCATCACCAAAACACCTGGGAATTGTTTAAATTACTATAAATCTGACAGAATAAAAAAGAACAAGGCAAAACTTTGATATTCGACTCCATTGTAATTATAGATTGCTACAATCATCAATTTAGAAGTTTGGTTTTTGGTCAAGCTAAGTTTGGTGCTACAGGGGAGTTAATAAAGTATTTTGATCAAAAAACTTGATCAAATTACAACCGTAAACAAGCAAACTACAGAGTGGGCCAGATAAAACCGGTCCCGAGAGGCGTAGGCTTCATACGAGACGCGCCGATGTACAGCATGACGGGACATTGACCTTTCCCCTTCCACTACTGTCTGCCGTCCGTCCTGTCCTGTCTATCTGTCCACGTCAGTGTAGCTTGAGTGTTTGACCGAGCAGTGTGGATCATGCCGTATTCAATAGAACAGCGTGTTTTCATAGTGGAGGAATATGTTCGTACAACTTCAATAATGTCGGTCCGTGAAAAGTTTCTTGAGAAGTATCCTGAAGGTGGAGTTCCTGCTAAATCAACCATTCACGATTTAATTAAAAAGTGGCGTACAACAGGCAATGTGCCAACATTCCAGTAGAAGAATTGCAGACTGTTTTCCTGAACATGATTCGCCGTGCTGAAATTTGCATACAAGTTGGTGGCTCCCATTTTGAACAGAGACTGTAAATCCTTAAATGTACATGTTGTAAAATAGACAAAATAAAATTTCATTTTACTTAATATTATGTATTTTTTTTATTTCGCCTAGTCACTTTTTCAGTTTCCTGTACGCATTGTATGAGTATTACGTAAACTCGCTCGGGACCGGTTTTATCTGGCCCACCCTGTACAACAGTTTACTTGTTCTCTATAAGAATTTTTAGTGAATATTTTTTTCTGTGAATGAAAAACATAAAACAAAACCAAATTCATGATAAATCATCAAACTGTAATGAAAAATCGGGTATTTTTATGTAAGAAGGGTAAAAACTTTAAAAACCAAATTCAAAAAAATGTTTAGACCCCATAACACATTAAATAGTCATGAATATAGTTGGAGAAATTTTCAAGAACAATATGTTTATTGTGACAACCTATAAGATTATACACAGAATAATAAAATGTATACCTACATATAAGTTGCATTGAGGTTGACCTGTTGACCCATAGCCTTTGCCACTAGTTCCTTCCATGTGGCATTAGGGTTTTCTTTCTTTATAGGCTCCAACCTGCTGAGTAATTCTTCACAAGCCTTTTTGGCAGCCTGAAAAATCATACAGAGTAAATCCTGTATTCTAGGTGGAAGTAGTTAAATTATAGCAACATTTTCTCAGTTACCGGTACACAGTTTGGTCAAAATGGTTGGTGAATCAGGTGTTCAGTGGTAGCAAATTGCAATATTCATTACAATATTCAATATTATTGCAATATTCACACTTTCATACAGTGTAACAAATTCAAACACAGCTCTCCAAGGCAATAAAATTTAAAAAATATATATTAAAATTTATCTACGTAAATACCTGCTGATCATTAAGTGAGAGATTAGGTATATTTAATTTTAAAAGGTACCCAACTTAGACTATGTTTTTTACATTAAAATTTTTACTTGGATCATGATAAAGGCCTATATTTCATCACCTAAGATATCATCACAAATAACCAGAGTGTATTGCAACAAATATTTTGATCGTTGAAATATTTTATCAAAATAATCCTAAGAGCTTATGTTTAATAAATAATATCCTGGACACAGAATAAAGCAAAAACTTAAAATTGAGAGTACTTACATAACAAGCAGATTCACTACCCCCACTGCCTCCTGTAGGGGCTGCGTTGGGGGCTGTGAGAGACAGGGTTGGTTTTACACTGATGCTCTCTACGGGGACACCCAGGGTATAGGCTACCACTTGGGCTACCTGCAAACATCAATGCCAGTGTTCATAGGGTTGATACTGGATATTGTGCCAGAGGGATCCATAAACATATTTATATAGAAGCGCTTGCAAAGAGTAGAGGATTAAGATGTGTGGCAGGGTTGGAGGAGAGAACATTCAACTATGATAGTAGTTTTTTTAAGCCTATTTGTGCGTATAGCTTATTAGTTTGTGTGTATGCTGCTTTTTGCCACTTACTAGTATTTGTGAATAGAACGGTTCCATTTGCACTTATATAGCTGACGTGTACACTTTGCTGAATGGCTAGAAAATGTGTTATTTGTTAATTATTGAATCTTCCGTCGCATGCGAGATAAGGACAGTGATATTTTTGTCTGCAAGAAACACATTGGCTGCTGACATTCATCGCCAAATGACTGAAGCTTATGGCCCTTAATGCAATGGTAGAGGGTAAAGTGCAAAAATGGGTTAGGGAGTTAAAAAAATGGCCGTGAAAATGTAAATTTTTGAAGAAGTTGTGTTTTTGTTGAGTAACCAGACTTCTCACAGAAGACCACAAAGGAATAAGGTTTTCAGTGGCAAAGAGCCTTGTTGCGGCGTACACGTGAACTAAGAAGCTATACACACATACGGCCCTTACTAAAAAAAAACTTCCCTTGTATTATCATTGTCATAGTATAGTAATTTATTCTCTACATAGATACAATTTGTTACAGTAGACTCCCGATTATCCGGACTCCTCGGAACCGAGGCCAGTCCGGATAACGGTTTTTCTGGTTAACCCTCCGAGTGTCACGCGTCATAAAAACGACGCACAACACACTTTGTGTAGGGTCACGCGTCGCTTTTAAGACGCACAAACATCGTTTACGGCGAAGGCTCTATGACTGACTGAATCGGATTGAACTGGATCGAGTTAGGTATCGTTCTTTCCGTAATATTCTAAGCTTTCTCCAGAGGTCTGTCTCTAAGCGCTATTCATTTTAGTTCCGAAAATATTGTAGCAGACAGCTGACGTGCGTGTATTTGTAAACAGCTAGGTTCCCCCGGACCGATGACTGATGTGTTTTATTACGTTTATCATTGTTTTAGTGTTAAAAATCAAAAGTAGTGATATACGTGGTGCATTATAAGAAGATTTAAGTGGTTTTGAAGTGCTGGTTGATGATCCTGAAGAAGTAGGTAGTGATATTGATGTAAATTATCAGCCAGATTCCTAGCTATGGTTAGGCTATGCATTCTTAGCTAAACGCTATGTACTGAAATCCGTTTTTCGCTCATAACTTATTTATTTGATAACTTACCTCGCTATATGATTATATATTTGTAATCCTCATTAAATTTAGAACAAAGTGGCTATTTTCAAATATTTATAGGCCTATAATTTATACAATTTCATTGAGCGTGAACTTATTTTTTTTTTGAAAATTTTCGAATTATATTTTTTTTACCTAAAAATTTTTTTTTTGAAAAAATGTTCCTTATGTTTTATATATAATATTGAAGCCCATGATTTTCCAAACAAAATGGTATATAGAACATTAGAATTAACATTGTTTTAAGCTTCTCAGATCCGTTTTTAATAAAACCTTGCAAAGGGGCCAAAAATAGGTGGACATTAAGGCCTAAACTATGGACACTCGGAGGGTTAAAAAGACGTCCCCAAAAACTTGTTATGTAACCCAAATATTTGACTTAAATTTAGGAAAGCTTTGTATTTTAGACACGTGATCACTGGTCTCAAATCTTTCCTACAAGAACAGTCGTTTCAGTACCGCCCACTTCCTGCCGATCTAGTCCGGTTAAGCCGATGTGCCGATGT